CGTGACAAGTTTGGTGCCCCAAACTGTCCACACTCGGCTTGTCCTGGACTTGACAAAGTCATGAAGTCCAGGATGTCCAATGAGACAAAGTCTCGAGACAAACAATTGCTCTCCTTGCTCGTAACAACTAGCTGTTACTTCAGAAAAATTTCACAAACTGCCATGAGTCCGTTTACCATTTTGAACGTGTTTCTACGTCACTACATGCCCAGAATGATGGGGAAATCCCTCATTCAAATTTGCGCGAGCGGCTATTGAGCGTCATTTGCCGCGATTCGACTTTCGAGCTTCGTAACTCTGGAACCACACATCGGCGCGCTTCAGCGATTGTTTCAATGGACAGCCCAGGGGATCGAAAGTTGTACAGTCCGTACACAAAGGGTTAAGCATGAGTATTGAAAGAAATGAAAGGACTAGCAAAGTAGTATAGTGACTTACTACTGGCATTGCGAGTCGATTCCTGTTGGCTTGTTCTTTTTCTTCGATTCGATGGAGAGGCCGCTAGCACCGTGATGCACTTCCTGGGGGCTGCTTTCTCTTCTTGTGATTCCGTGATCTCATGCCATTATCCTCAGGTCTGTTGGGGGTAACACTCGGGCGCAAACGCTTGGAGTTGCCCAAGTTGACTTCGCCTTCGCATGAATCTAAATTGCAGTCTTGAGCCGGTGGTCGGTGTTGATGGTGGACATTTGTGGTCTGGTTTGATGCTACTGCTTGCCCCAGCGGTTCATGATCTGAGTTGTTTGGCGTAGCACCAAAGTCTTCTGGCTCGGAGGAGCTTGACTGATGGTCATCGTCTGATTCGCTATCAGATTCCTTGCCTTGTTGGTTACCTTGTCGGTTGGCAACTATGTCTGAAAGAAGTACCTCCGCTCGCTCAGACTCGGTGGAGAGAAGGCTGGTGTTGTTTTTGGTTTTATGTTCGGAGGATGAGTCTACAGCTCTGTTGTTGGCCGAAGTCTTGGTGGTTGATTTGCTTATTTGAGTCTTTTCCGGGCAGTCCTAGGCGATGTGCCCTGGCTTGTTGCATAGCCTGCATGTGGGTGTTTGTTCAGCATGGTACACGCGGAAATTGCTCTTCCCGTACCGTGATTTCACGTACGATGGTACGGTCTTGTTTGTGCCAAGTTTGAAGGTGATATTGTCCTAACTTCGATTTTCAGTGCATCAGCCATCGCGAACATCACCGCCATTATCACTCGGAGAGAAGACATCGCGCTCAGTAGAAGAGGTGTTCACGCTGCGTCCAAGAGTGAAAGATTGTGCTCTTTGACCCTCCATAGTCCCTCTGAGAGAGTGTCTGGGAGATAGGTAGCTTGGAGATGGCCGTAGAACGTGCTTTCCTGGACGCATTATTCAGCCATTTCTACTGTCTTCTTCAACTTGATTTATTTCGAAAAAAAATGTTCTTTTCCACGATTTCTGCACTGGACGCGTTTGGGATCGAAAATCTCTCCTGCGCAGACTGGCTGCGCAGTTCACGCGCTGAGATCCCTACTTAAGAGAGCATGTCTGAGAATACCAAAGTATGTGTGCAAGTGGATCTCTCTGATTTCGTTCAAAATGTGAAGGTAGGTTCCCTTTGGGGTGTGGATCGATTGTGCAAAGCCCTTGAAAAAGTTTCTGAAGGGAACCTTGAAATTTGCATACCCCTCAAAAATGGCCGAAATATCACATTATTTATGGGTCTAGAAACGAGTCACGCCACGCTATGAACAAAACTCCATCAAGGCAACATTGCCTCACCTTAGAAGAGCTCCTGGAGCAGTACCGCTTAGCCACGCCCGCATCCCAGAAGACGAGGTCCATCACCCTCTGACGCCACAATTGATCGTCTTGAAAATAGCCAATTTACAAGCGCTGGCAAAATAGCCAGCTACGTCCTCAATTGGCCAGAACTATACACCGGCAGATAGTAGAACACCTCTTCTAGCGCTGAGGACATGTTCCCTTTCTTCCATTTGGGATTTTCTTGAAATAAACTTTTTTTGTATTTTCCACTCGACCATGCTGAAATCGGGCCAAAGTCATACCTGCGCAGGAAAGCTCGCCCCTCCGCGACGTCTCCTCAGAAAGTTCTACTCCAACACTACTCCGAAGGCTGCAGAACAAAGTGTGAGTAGACGGTGAACCTCTTTCAGTAGTCTATATATGGTGTTATGGCAAATCACTGCCGCTAGCCTTTGGGTGTCATTACGTTCATGGTAATTCCAATGCATGCCCGCATCAACGTGCCCTTCTTTGGTGTCAGTTATGCTGTGTGCACGCATAGAGGTGATACATTTATTGTTCCTGTGTGGACCAGTCTAATCATAATTATTCCTGGCTGTTCTTTTGTGCTATTCATGCTATTCATGATGCATGTAGTAGTAGTAGTGCATCGTGTTGTGTTGTTATGCATGTCTCATGTGCCGTTTCCCGCGCGCGCGTGAAACGGACTTCGCGGCTTGTAGTTTCTGTGCCTAATTAGTTGAGTCGGCGTCTTGTTGTTTGGACTGGAGACTACACCGAGTTGTGTTTCTTTTCGTTGTTTTCAGTCAGTTACAGCTTGCAGTTATTCCTCTCGTGTAGTTCAGTTGCTTTGCTAGTGTCTCATCCTGAAGTAAAGTATATTCGTTATTATCTCTGTGAGTCAGATCCCTCTCTCGTCTAATGGTAGCAGAGGATGGTTATCTTCACCTAGTCGGAAGTCCATCGGAGCGAGATGTCTGAACACAGCGACGATATCAGTCACGAGCGGAACAGGGTCACGGTAGGCGATGATGTTGGGCCTGGCGATTATGTTGAGCCTGGCAATTATGTTGAGCCTGGTAATACGGACGGCCAGGAAGAACAAGTCAACGATGCTGTGACCTCGGCATCTGCAGACATGAGAGTGGCAAAAATTCAAATGAAACGGCGCTTGACGTCGCGGCGACGAGGCTTGATTTTGCAGATCCGTGACGAGAAGTTGAGTTTGGATGCCGTGAGAGACGAATTCGAGGCAGTGCAATGGTTCGCCAACGAGGTGAATCAGGTGTTGGAGTCACTGGTGACGTGTTTTCAAGCCGAGAAAAAGGCAAAGCAGTCGACGCAGCAATAACGGAGCTGGAGGAAGTGGCAGAAGCAATGGCGCACCTGGAGCAGCAGGTGGAGATGTACGAGGAGCAACAACATATTCGTGCGCGTCATTCCGCAGGGTTCAGTCAGTACCACCCTGTTATGCCATCAAGCTTCAACGCTGCTCACGACCCATTAGGTGGGGTGTCAGGAACTGCTCAGTCTGCGAGTTCTGCACAGTCCGCTAGACCGTCTTCCGCGCCTGGTGGCGTCAGTGCGGACTTCACTCCTGTCACAAGCAACACGGACACATCTGCAGCAAGCAACACATTCAGCACCAACAGGCCTGTCAGTGCCAGTGTCTCAAGTAAAAGCGCAATCACCTCACTTTCTTCGTCTGTAGGTGCACCCACAAGCTCCAGCTCTACTCCACCAGCCAGTGTGAGTGCAGGGAGCAGTCACCACTCCAGTTCTAGTACCAGTAGTAGCCATAGCATCAGTTCCCGCACAAGTAGCAGTGCGCCAGCAGCAGCAGCAGGCCCCACAGTGCCACTGAGTCAGGCCAGCAACACCAGCGCACCTGTAGCTGTACAAGCAACCAATAGCAATGTACTGCCCAGGCAATCAGCCCCTGTTCACTCCAGCAGGGTACACACAGCAGTCATGAGTGGAAGTAGCCAGAGACCAGCCCATACATTACACCAGTCTGTGGCCGCCGTCCCATTTGTACCTAGAGCCAGTTTCAGGCCTACACAGAGTGTGGCACATGGCCATGGCGGCAGCTACAATGGTCTACCAGTACCAACCCCATTGAGACCATCTAGTTTTGCTGCACCACCAGCTGGAGCCACAGACGTCTTCAGCAAAATGAGAAGCATTTCAATACCCGTGTTTGATGGTGATAAGCGTGCCTATGAGTTATGGAAGGCCGCGTTCCTGGCGTGCGTGGACAGTGCGCCAATCAGCCCAACCCTGAAGCTGTTGCAGCTACGACAGTATGTAGCGGGAGAAGCGCTAAGATGCATCGAGCGGCTAGGGTACGCCCCGGACTCATACCACAAGGCAATGGAACGCCTGGAACGGAAATTCGGAGGTACGCGGCGCCAAGTGATGGTGTACTTAGATGAACTGGAACGATTCAAGCCATTGCACGGAGATCGAGTCAACGCACAAGATCTGGAACAGTTCTCAGATTTGTTGGAAGTAGCCGTGACCAACTTGAAAGCAGCGGGTCGCCAATCGGAGCTAGAGGTGGGCACTCTGTACGCGCGAATCCAGCAGAAGCTGCCAAAAGACCTGCTGACAAGATACCATAGGTGGCTCTATGAGCATCAGCGCCCAGAAGGGGTGGAGGCGTTGCTCGAGTGGGTCAATCTCGAGGCCGACTTTCACATTACCGCCAATGAAGCCATCGCAGGCCTAGCACCTGGTCGCCATAGACATGGCCGAGAGCGCCCAGCAGCCCGAGGCCACTCATTCCATGCAGCAGAGTCACCCAATCCGACACCGGCAGAGTGTCCAGTATGCTCCCAGGACCATCAAGTGTGGACATGCAAAGAGTTCAAGGAAATGGATGTGGACAAGCGTTGGAAAGTGGCGAAAACACATCGGCTCTGCTATCGCTGTCTGGGCAAGGGCCACCGAGGTGCTAACTGCCAGCGGAAGAGAAAGTGTGGCGTAGACAAGTGCAGCGATACCCACAACTATCTGCTTCACAGGGCAGTAGCCATTGACACGTCTAGAGCCAGAAATGGCACGGAAAGGGTCGTACCAGTGAGACAGCCAGAACCACAACCACTGCTAACATCGGAGCAGGCGTCAGACCATTGTCACTGAGAACCTTGCCGGTCGTTTTACGAAACGGTGACCGCAACCTCAGGGTGAATGCGCTGTTGGATGATGGGAGCACCCAAAGTTATGTGAACACAGAGGTAGCGGACCAGCTCAACTTGCAGGGACCCATGAAACAGGTTTCGATCAGCACCCTCAACGGAGCAGTGGAGTCTTTCGAGTCAATGCCAGTGGATCTGCTGGTAGAGAGTGTAGATGGCAAGTACATCAGTCCGTTCTCAGCCATCACAACTAGTCACGTCACAGGCACACTGAAACCGTACGATTGGACCGTCGAGTCAAGTCAGTACCATCATCTGCTGGACATACCCTTCGAACAGCCAGCAACTCGCCAGATTGATATGCTGATTGGCTTGGATCATGCCGAGCTTCACTACTCTCTGGAGGAGGTGAGGGGTGATCAGGGAGAACCGGTGGCGAGGAGAACCGCGCTAGGTTGGACCTGTGTTGGACCTGTGAGTGGAAGCTCAGATCATCACCGCACTCACTTCAGCAGAGTCGATGACGGTAATCTGGAGATGCTGGTCCGGCGTATGTGGGAGGTGGAAGAGCCTCGCCGACAGAGCCCGCTTGCAGCAAATGACCGACAAACTCTTGCAGATGCAGAGGCAGCAACAAAGTACTGCAACGGCAGGTACACCGTCAAGCTGCCTTGGAAGAGAAGCCCGCCAGAGGAGAACGTTAGCTACGAGATGGCACTGAAGAGACTGCGCTCGACAGAGAAACGCCTCCACAAGGAACCAGAAGTAGCAAAGGAGTACTGCCGTGTACTGCAGCATCATGTGAACGCTGGATACGTGACTGCAGTAAAGCTCGAGTCAACAGGTGGTTGGTACCTCCCGCACTTTCCAGTCACCAGACCAGATGCAACAACAACTAAAGTGAGGGTGGTCTTTGACGCATCAGCCAAATGCAAAGGAGCAAGCCTGAACGACTACCTCCACCCAGGACCGAAGCTGCAGAGAGAGCTACCGCACATATTGCTGCGATTCAGGGCAAAGCCAGTTGCTATCGTGGCCGATGTAGCAGAGATGTACCTCCAGATCGAGCTGTCTGAAGATGATCAGAAATTTCATCGTTTTCTGTGGCGGGACTTGGATGCGTCAAAGGAGCCAGTCGCCTACCAGTACCAACGGGTGGTGTTTGGCGTGAATTCGTCCCCATTCCTAGCGCAAATGGTGTCTCAGAAACATGCTGAGCAGCTAAAAGAAGATTTCCCACGTGCTGCAGAAGCGGTGTTGAAGTCGACTTATATGGACGACACTATGGATTCCACCGACGATGACAAGGATGCCATCAAACTGTACCAGGACCTGAGTGAGCTGTGGCACCGTGCCGGAATGCATCCTCGCAAGTGGATTTCGAACAGCACCGAGCTACTCCAACTGATCCCACCGGAAGATCGTGCCAAGCAGGTGAATATTCAGGATAGTATTCTGCCGTCAACCAAAGCGCTTGGTGTGCAGTGGGATGCAGAGACGGATGTCTTTACGTTCAGGTGTCGAGCACCAAGTTACTCAGTCCTGACCAAGCGGACCTTTCTGAAGATTCTGGCGACTCTGTTCGACCCGCTGGGGTTCGTCTTGCCCTTCGTGATGAGTGGCCGCATCCTGTTCCAGGAAATGTGGGTCGATGGTATTCAGTGGGATGAGCCACTGCAAGATGATCTACATGCCCGAGCAGTGCAATGGTGTGATGAATTCGAGAAGCTAGAAGCCGTGGCTGTGCCCCGTTGTTTGAGACTGTCAAACACAGAAGCGATCACTGCCACGGAACTGCACGTCTTCAGCGACGCATCGCAAGACGCATATGGAGCAGTCGCCTACCTCCGTCACAGCTACGAATCCGGGGCTGTGACCTGTCGCCCGGTGGCAAGTAAAGGCAAGGTAGCTCCGATAAAAAGCACCAGCATCCCGCGTTTGGAGCTGACTGCGGCGGTAGTTGCAGTAGATTTGGCTGTGTCAGTGGGTGAAGTGCTGGCTATACCCGAGAGCAGTTGGCATTGGTGGACGGATAGCATGAACGTCTTGTGGTGAGTGCGCAATCGAAGTCGCCAGTTCAAGCCATTCATTGCCAACAGAGTGGCAGAGATTCAAGCCTCAAGTCAGCCAGGTCAGTGGCACTACGTCCCGACAGAGTGCAATCCTGCAGATGTGGTTTCCCGTGGGTCCAGTGCCGCCAAGCTTGTACAGGAGGCCCAATGGTGGAATGGACCGCAGTATCTTCTCCTTGACAAGTCCCAGTGGCCGCCACCACCCAGCAAACTCACTTGTCCTGTCGTGCCCGAGGTGAGGTCCGCATGCAAGGAAGCCACAATGAGCACAGTTGAAGGAGTGTCACTCTTCACGTTTGTGAGCAAAGATTGGAAGCTGGAACCCAGGAACTTCTCATCGTGGAGAGTCGCCGTACGTCGTCTAGCCTTGGTGCTTCACTTTGTCAGCAACTGCCGCACCCCGGTTGATGAGAGGCAAGTCGGCAGCTTGAGCCCTGAGGAAGTGACAGACGCGGAGCTTTCCTTCACCAGAACAGCTCAACAAGAGAGCTTCCCAGAGTATGCTCTCCTGAGAAAGGGGAAGGCAATCCCAACGACCAGCAAACTGGCTAGTCTTTGTCCTCGGCTAGATGAAGATGGAGTCATGCGAGTGGAAGGACGGACCCAGAATGCAGAATTCCTACCCGAAGCAACTAAGCATCCAATCGTTCTACCACGTCACAACTGGGTTACATACCTGATTGTCAAGGACCAACATGAGGCTGCGAACCATGCTGCTGGAGTCAACCACACGTGGTCCCTGCTGAGGCAACGCTTCTGGATCATTGCGGGACGAGAAGCAGTTCGTGAGTGCGAGCAGAGGTGTACTGAATGCAGAAAGAGGAAAGCCAAACCTGTCACTCCAATCATGGCCCCTCTGCCGAAGATACGGTTAGAGTCACCGCGTCGTGCCTTCGGCCGGGTTGCTGTGGACTACGCCGGGCCATTTACGACAGTTCAGGGTCGAGGACAGAGGCGGGCAAAGAGATACCTCTGCCTCTTCACTTGTCTCACGTGCCGTGCTGTGCATTTGGAGTTGTCCTATTCCCTGGACACCAGTAGCTTCTTGAATGCCTTCGAGAGAATGAGCAACCGCCGAGGCGTGCCAGAAGAGGTCCTGTCGGACAATGGGACGAACTTTGTAGGAGGACAACGCGAGCTGAAAGAGCTAGAGCAAGAACAGGCGGCGCTCCAGTTGAAGTACCCACGTGTACGGTGGCACTTCATTCCTCCAGGTGCCCCGCATTTCGGCGGCGTTCACGAGACCATGGTCAAAGCCGCCAAGAAGGCCATTCATGCAGTTCTGAGTGATGCCAGCATCACCGATGAGGAGCTTCAGACCGCTTTCTGTAGTGCCGAGTCTCTCCTCAACTCAAGACCGCTAACAATCCCTTCTGTGGATGCCAGAGACGACTTGCCCTTGACTCCGAACCACTTCTTGGTTGGACGTGTGGAGCAGTTCTCCATCGGCACCAGCAGTGACGATTACCGCCTACAACAAAGATGGAGGAGAGTGCAAGAACTTGTCACACACTTCTGGCACCGTTGGATGAAAGAGTGGGTCCCCGGACTGAATCGCCGTGCTAAGTGGTCAGCCGAGGAAAGGAACATAGCAGTTGGAGATATCGTCCTGGTGATCACGGCAGATACGCCACGGGGTAAATGGCCCCTTGGAAGAGTGACGGAAGTGATGCCAGGTCAAGACGGCACCGTGCGTGTGGCAAGAGTGCTAGTTGGCGGGAAGACAGTGACCAGGCCTGTGGTGCGACTGTGCCCAGTTGTCACGGTGGGCGTCGCTGGACCTGATGATAGTGAGGACTGATTCTGAATCGCCCTAGCATGCTTACCGGCTGGATGTGTCTCTCTTGTGCATCAGTCGTCCGTTTTTGCAGCCATTTATGTTTCTGTACAGCTAGCTCATAGCTCGTTACGTTTCGTTTTCTTTTCTGATAGTTCATTTTAGTTGTATCAACGTTGATACTTACCGGTAGTTGTATCAAGGAGGGTGGAATGAGTAGACGGTGAACCACTTTCAGTAGTCTATGTATGGTGTTATGGCAAATCACTGCCGCTAGCCTTTGGGTGTCATTACGTTCATGGTAATTCCAATGCATGCCCGCATCAACGTGCCCTTCTTTGGTGTCAGTTATGCTGTGTGCACGCATAGAGGTGATACATTTATTGTTCCTGTGTGGACCAGTCTAATCATAATTATTCCTGGCTGTTCTTTTGTGCTATTCATGCTATTCATGATGCATGTAGTAGTAGTAGTGCATCGTGTTGTGTTGTTATGCATGTCTCATGTGCCGTTTCCCGCGCGCGCGTGAAACGGACTTCGCGGCTTGTAGTTTCTGTGCATAATTAGTTGAGTCGGCGTCTTGTTGTTTGGACTGGAGACTACACCGAGTTGTGTTTCTTTTCGTTGTTTTCAGTCAGTTACAGCTTGCAGTTATTCCTCTCGTGTAGTTCAGTTGCTTTGCTAGTGTCTCATCCTGAAGTGAAGATTATTCGTTATTATCTCTGTGAGTCAGATCCCTCTCTCGTCTAAAGTGTATTGTTGACTCTGACAAGGATTAGCAGCGGTGATCACTTGCCACTCCAAACGACAAGCTTCTCCTTGCGCCACCAATAATTTTTTCTGCGACTGATGATGCAAAAGTGACTGAAGGCCTGAGCGCAGTTTTTGAATTTTATTGCAAGATGCACGGTGAGATCGCGTGCTTTGTGACGTAGGATGACACTTCCTGCATCACGATACACGGCTATCGATCGCGAATATGCCTGGACTGCTACTCGGAACAGACCATGATGGCAGAGGTAAGATGAGCTTCATTTCCTGCTTGAACTGCTGAGAACCCCCACAAGCTGTCCTAGGAGTGTTGCAATGGCAGCAAGCCGTTGAAATATGCCCCGTACAGCATGGGGAGTTATTCGTCTTTCACACTTATCTTCTGAAATCCCGAACATAGTCCAATAGTAAAAGTCCCTTGTTTTCATGTCGATGCTCAACAAAAGCGGCTAGCTCAGTCCCTTTGTGTTGACTGGCACGCGAGCAGCACTGGCTGCACGCACTTGTCGAGTGAACTGCATGAGAGATTTCTTAGGTCATCAAGAATGTGATTTCATCATCATTTCACTGGTCTTCGACCTACATGGTCAGGGGACGTCCCGGTTCTTAGGCCAACAACACGGTCAGCGTGTTCTTGAGCGCAGTAACAACACAAGTGTGATCACTTCCAGACTAACGGGCGTTCAAGGCGAGTAACAAGCGGACTTGACAAAGGTGACTCTGAAATCTCGTGAGCCGTGGGCCACGCGACTTGGCATTCTTGCGTCACAAGGCACGTGGTTTCACCGTGCATCTTGCAATAAGATTCAAAACTGCGCTCAGGCCTTCAGTCACTTTTGCATCAACAGTCGCACAAAATATTATTGAAGGCGCAAGGAGAAGCTAGACCCATAAATAATGTGATATTTCGGCCATTTTTGAGGGGTGTGCAAATTTCAAGGTTCCCTTCAGAAACCTTTTCAAGGGCTTTGCACAATCGATCCACACCCCCAAGGGAACCTACCTGCAAATTTTGAGCGAAATCAGAGAGATCCACTTGCACACATACTTTGGTATTCTCAGACATGCTTTCTTAAGCGCCAGGATAGAACTTACGAGATTTCCTGGCCTGTCAAGGAGCGTGCTTATGCCTAGTGCAACGTCGCACAGCGCTGCAACCTCTGCATAGTACCACATCCTTCCACCAGCCCGCAGAATCTCACGCAACAAGTGCAAGGATATTGTGTGGAAGTGTCGCCATGCTGCGAAGTTCCTGCTTGGCAAATACAAAGGTGTCACCTAAATCATTCTTGCTAGGCATGCTGAATCCATGTACGAAATTCCTCACTCTTGCTTACACAAATCGCTGCCTCCGTAACACTACTGCATATAATTGGATCTTGGCTGTTCATCCAGTATTAGTTGTCTAATGATTGCCTATGGGCATGAAGCTATTAGTTACCACGAATGATGCATGGTGCTGTGTGACGTGTGTAAGATAGCAATGCATGGTGCTCTGTGTGACGTGTGTAAGATAGCAATGCATGGTGCTCTGTGTGACGTGTGTAAGATAGCAATGCATGGTGCTCTGTGTGACGTGTGTAAGATAGCTCTATTCGAACCGTTCGGAACGAATATTGAGCACTCTACTGAGCCAAAGGACTCGCATTAGTAGAAGTCATAATGTTCAAATCAATCATAATAATGGTGACAGGCCAGACTCACAACTGGTATAATTCTTTAGTTGTTCGAAACAATCCCTCTGGTAGCTGAGTGAGCTGATTCCCATCCAAATCTCTAGAACACAGAAAGGTTCAGTGGTGTCGTTTTAGTACACAGAGCAGTGAAAGAAAGTGTTAAAAGGATTGGGAGAAAATAAAAATTTAGAAGGGTCCGTCGAGGATGTAAACTGTTTTTTTCTCTGCCTAAAAGGTTTTTGGGAATGGGTTTACTCCCACACTGGAGATCACGCTATTCCGTCGAATTGACTTGACACTTGACTGACGACTTACGGCTGCCATCCAGAGCACACGGCAAACCGGAAGAAAGCACCACTCCCCGGTCAATCCACAGTGTTTCAGGGAGTTCACTCCTCATCAACTGAGCTTTAGTAGGCTGACGAATATTGTGCCTCAAGAGTACCACTTCAATGGAGCTCTCCAGGCACAAACATCACCAGGGATACAGACTTACAGTGACAACACTGTCACCTCCAAACCAGCTAGTCGCAAGCATGCGCTGGGTACAAGATAAAAGGTATAAAAAAATTATCACCAAAGTCGCAACCACTATTTCGTAAAAGATGTTTAGGCAGTTCAATTCCCCGACTGATCCTTTGAAATTATTAGTAATACAGGTAGAATCCTGATAATTCGAACCCAAAAAAGCTATGGAAAATTTCTTATTATCCGGATATTCTTATTGTCATTATATATGTCTAAAATGCCGGCATTGAC